GCTCCCACGCCTGCCTGAGGCTCCAGGTTCCAGGGCCAACTCTTCCCATGACAGCCATGAGACTCATTGTGAGTGCCATCCTCCCAGCCACAGCTGGGAGCACTTGCTGGGTGCCTTAGAGGCTCGTGTTGTTCAATCCTCACTCCAATCCTGTGAGGTGGTCACACTTATTCCTGCATCATCTAGAGGAAGAAACTGGGGCTCAGGGAGGTGAAGTCACTTGCTCCAAACCATCCAGCAGTAGGCAATGTGGTTGAGATCTGAATTCAGGTCACCCCACCTGCCTTAATCACTCAGCCCCTTGGTGTAGCCTTCCAATGTCACCACGCTGAAGCTGGGGGTGGGGGTGAGGGTGGGCGGCTGGCCTGGAGCAAAGTTTTGCCCACAGGCATTAGCCCAACACATACCTCAGTGCCCAGAATCTCCCCCAGAAAACCCAGACAGAAGGGGAGAGTTAGGACTCAGGGGTGCAAGGCTGGTTTATCCTGGTGCTCACCATGGCATCTTGAAAATGACCTTGCCCCTTTCACATCAAGAGGAGCTTGGGAGTCTCTGTGAAGATCTGAAGATCCAGGTGAGCCTTGAATGACAAAGCCCAACAGACCTCCCTATTTCCCTCCCCCCACACCTACAGGCAGGCTTCTCAGGCTGCTCTACAGAGGGTCTTCTCTAGGCCCAGAGCAAAAATGTCTCCTTAAATAGCATCCCAGGCTTGTCCCCTCCACTGAGGGTGGGGGGTTGGGGTCCTGACAGAGGCCCAAGGGCTTCAAAACCACCACTCCTCAGGGGTCTTAACTATTCTGCCTTTAGCTTCTCAAGAGATGGGTCCCATCCACCCAGCCCTCGCAGGTCTCCACACAGCTAGAGTGGAAGCTCCCATTCAATCAGTTGGAATCTTCCAGACAGGGCCACTTTGTCTTATCAGACAATGAAAGCTGGTGTCACCCCAGGGGACTCCTCCAGAAGCTCCCCTGCCCCTTCTTGGCGTGGTTCTTTCTGAGTCATCACCACCACCCTGTGACAGAGGCCCCAGGATAGTGTTTTATGTCATAAGACACTGAGGGTCCCAGAGGGTGAGGCTTGCTGAGCGCCACCCACCTGGTCAGCGATAGGGCCAAGACCTAAACGGCATCTGTCTGCTCCAGAGGCAGCGCCCCGTGAGACCCGTGAACAAACATCAAGTTCGCTCAGCTCTCCGGCCTCACCAGGGCACCCCGGCTTGCCCTCTCTGAGAGGAGGCCTCAGGCCTCCTCAGCCCATTTTACAAGAGAGAGGAGGATAGAGGAGGTTAAGTGCTCTGGCCAAGGATGCAGCAACCCTTCTGGATTCCAGGGGACTGGGGCGTCTTGGTCTCGTTTCTCCAACCAACACCTTCCTCTCCTGGGCTGAGAGCACTCCGGACCTCCAGGGCGCAATCTAGAGGTGTCGGAAAAGTCTAGTGGGTGTCCACTTAGGTCGGGCAGTCCCTAGGAGCCTGTTCCGGCCAGCGCCGCCGGCTGGCTTTACCCTCAGTACTCCCGCCCCAAGTGAGGGCCCCTAAGAGAACAAGGGGTTGGGGGCGTTCCCGCCGCGGCGGAAAAACTAGCAAAGGCGGCGGGGGCCCCACATTCCGGCGGCCGCTCCAGGAACCCGGAGCTCCTGCAGACGGAGCCGGGGAACAAACCTCCCGCCCGCCCAGCAGAAGCCTCCGGGACGACCCGCTGGAGCCTTTCTCGAAGAGCCGCCGGGCCTTCGGGCTCCAGAGCCTCGGCGAGCTGCACTGGGGCGCTTCCCCCGAAGAGCGGCGCCCGGGACGGCTCGGGGGCGGTGCCCTGGCGCTCTGTCCGTCGGCGGCCGCGCGTCTGCCGCCGCGCGGGATACATCCCCTGGCGCCCACTCCGGCTCACCCACCGTGCACCAGCTTCCGCATGTCCTGGTAACGAGCCCATAGGTGCGCGCCGAGCTCGGCGCCGCCGGTGGGCGCCGGGGCGGGCGCGAAGCGCGGAGCACCCGGGCACTGAACGCCGGGACCCGGGGGGCCGCAGCCGGGGCAGGAGGGCGAGGACGAGGCGGCTCGCGGTCCGCCGTGGCCTCCGCAAGGCAGCCAGCGCCGAGCGGCCGCCCGCAGCCCCGCACCCGCCATGCCCGCCGCGCGCCGCCCGCGCAGCCCTCGGCCCGTCGGCCACTCTGCTGCCCTCCTCCTGCGCGCCCGCCACGGTGGCCGCGTGCTCCTCCCCGTGGCCGGCCAATGGGCGCGGCCCGCGGAGCTCGGCTGGCCAATGGGCGCGCCCCTCGGCCCTGGGGGCGGGAGGTCCCAGGACGGGGCGGGGCAGGCTCCCTGGCCCCCTCCCCCCAGTCTCCTGCTCCGCTGGGAAGGACGGTGCGCCTCTCTCTGGTTGCGTTGGCGGCGATGCTGGGTCCGTCTGTCCCCCATCTGGGAGGTCGGAGGGCCTAAGAACGGCCGTCCCCGAGAAGCTGCGGACGGCCGGGGCGCGGAGAGGAGGGGGCGGGAGCGCAGCAGGTCCACCCCGGCCCCGTAGTCCTCTGTCTCCCCCTGCGTTCCCGGGCCCTCCCGCCCCTTCCCCCATCTCTTGTCCTCCTGACCGCAGATCCTCGGCCCCTCCCCCAAGTCCCCCTGCGGGGGTCCTCTTCCTCGCCTCCGGCCCCTGACTGGCGTTGCCCGCAGACCAGAAGCTGGTCCGTTTCACTAATTTAGCGAATAAAGAGCCCTTTCCGCGCGCTCGCCGGCGCCAGCCCCACGCGGGTTGAGACTCTAGGAGCCGCAGCACAGCCGACGTCCGCTGAAGCAGCCCCTTCTCTCTCCCTGTACCTCACACAGATGACCCGTTTTAACTCGGAGCAGGACGACTGGGCGCTGCAGGGCCGTGGGCCGGGGGTCACTGCGCCTGCCTGGTTCCGACCTCAGCAAATGGCCGCACCGACCCGCCCCACTCCTCTCTTCTCTCAGGCCCCTTCTTGAGATGCCGCGGTCTCTTCTAGCACTGTCTCCAGGCTGTCCAACGAAATTCCTCTTTCCTGCTTGGAACCGCTCTCCACCCTCCTTTCTTCTACTCAGATCCGTTTTCTGAGTACACATATGTATCAGGCGGTGCACTGGGCCCTGTGGAGGCCGACCCTGCACCTGTGGGCCCTGTCAGTGGGGGAGCTGGCCAGCTGGACACTGGTTCCGTGGGGTGCTCCCCACGGTGGCCTCGCCAGGTTTAAATCCACTGCACCTTGGTTAAGGACCTACATTGTGCCAGACCCTGGGCCAGGTGCTGGTGCAAGATGGAGGGTGGGCCCGTGGGTGGGTGGCTGTGCCCCCCCTCTCCCCCCAAGGCCCCAGTGAGCTAGGTGGGCACTGCAGACCTGGCCACACGTAAGCCTCATCTGGGCGGGATATGGGCGCTCTGAGACGTCCAGCTCCCAGAGCTACAAACAGAAAAGGGAGTGAGCGCCAAGCGGGTGTGTGTGCGCGGTTGGGTGGGGTTGGCTCCAGAAGAAGGCAGGTTGGTTATCTGAGCAGCTGCTGGGGGCCTGGCCGCTCAGCGGCAGACCCTACGACCCCTTCCAGGGGCCCTGCTTGCTCTGTCTCTTCTCCAGCCTGTTTTTGTACGTTATGTGTCCACATCACCAAACTCTCTTATTGGTTCTAAGTTTTCATTTGATTTTTGTAGATTGTCTAATAGTTGTTTCCCCTCTCAAAGATACTCCCCAGTTTTTTTATCCTTAGGTAATGAGGTGACAGTCCCTTACAGACATCTTCAGCAAGCACAGCGATGCAGCCCGAGTAAAGTCGCTGGAGTCAGAGCTCTTCTACCTGGCTTAATTTCTTAACTTCTCAGTTCCCCATCTATAAAAGGAGATGATGAAAATAGAGGCGAGGTTCACTAGGTTCCCGAATACATATAAAGAGCTAGGGCTCAATAAATTATTATCATCATAATATGATAGCTAATGTTAGTTGATCAGGTACTACGCCCCAGGCATTGTGTTAAGTGCTTTATTTATATTATCTCTCTAAATCCTCACAGCATCAGAGAAAGGTCCCCATTTTGTGGATTAGGGGGTTGAGGCACAAACCACCTAAGGGAAGTATGTGTGCAGCAGGGATGTGGTTTGACAAAGCCCGTGCTCTTTAACTATTCTGCAGTTCTGTGATTATTGTGAATAAGGAGATGATGCATAAAAAGCATCTACAAGTCCCTGTATGACGCTGTGTCCCATACAAGATAGTTTTCATTAATTTTAGAGTTGTTTGTCAAAAGATGCTTACTTAGACTTTTGTTGTGATAAAGTTCAGCTTTCTTTTTTTTTTTTGTGAGGAAGATCAGCCCTGTGCTAACATCTGCCAATGCTCCTCTTTTTTTTTTTTTTTATGCTGAGGAAGACTGGCCCTGTGCTAACATCCATGCCCATCTTCCTCCACTTTATATGGGAGGCCGCCACAGCATGGCTTGCCAAGTGGTGCCTCAGTGCCCGCCCCGGTCCGAACCAGGGAACCCTGGGCCGCTGTAGCAGAGCGCGTGCACTTAACCACTTGTGCCACTGGGACGGCCCCTAAAGTTCAGCTTTCAGCGATGCATATCAAATTCTGTTATTTTTAGAAGTCTAGTTACCAATCACGACCCTGAAATAAAAGCAAGGCGTTGCGTAATTGCATTTTAGAGTATGGTGTAGTACACGTTTAGTCCATGAGAAAGGGTCGTCACTTCTATGACGACTTTAAGAAAAAACATGGCGGTGACAGAGCAGGGGGTGCGGCTGCCGACTCTGTACACTAGCCTGTAGCAGGGAGGCGGCGGGGCAGGACCGGGCTAAAGCCACGTGGGAGCCCTCGCCCCCTTGGGCAGCCCCGCCTCCAGAGCCGAGGCGCCTGCGCCAGCTCCATCAGGCTGGGCCAGCCTCACAGAGCACGCGCACTTCGCCGCATTCTGATTGGCGGACCCTGGAGCTCCGCGCTAGACTCCTGAAGGTCTGTGCACGTTTGGCGGGGACGCAGGCCGCAGGCCTTAGCAAGGACGAGCAGCACGGCTCAGCTTCACACGGGCGCTCCGGTCCAGGGCCTGGGGCAGCTCCCGACGCTTCTGGTTCTGCCGTACCCCTCTCCACGACCTCGGTCGGGCATGTTTTCCAGGGCCCAGGTGAGACGGGTTCTGCAGTGGGTGCCCGGAAAGCAGCGACTTGGCGTCTACAGGTTCCTGCCCTTCTTTTTTGTCCTGGGCGGAACAGTGGAGTGGATCATGATTAAAGTGCGCGTGGGCCAGGAGACCTTCTGTAAGTGAGGGTGCAGCAGCCTCTGTTTCATTTCAGGAAGGCAGGAGGCGGCAAGGGACCCGTTTTCCTGGAGGATGTTCTTAGGTTGCAGACCGTTCATTCCACTCAGAGCGATGAATTGCTTTTACCCTGGTCAGAAGGGCAAGTGCAGGTCCATTCGTTGGGCCGTCGAGGCCAGCCCGGGCTCTCCTGTAAGCGGGGCGACAAAGGCACATTGGCGAACAACCTTGAGACCTTCCCTGCACTTTGAGGAGAGGGCACATGGCTCCACTAGGACGCCCTCCACTCAAGCCTGCCCTTCGCCCATGCCGGTGATATTGTTTGGGCCTGAGGAACAGCCTTGCTCACAGCACCGTGTAAGTGGGTGGGATCCTGAGCATTCATGGAAACCCCTGGTAACTGACCAGTTCTCTCTGTACTCTTCAGTCCAAACCCTGGAGGGAGCTGGTCTGCCCGGTTTAGCTGATTACCACTGCCTTTACAGGGCAGAGTCATTGGCACCAGGGCCCAGCATTGTGAAAAAAATGCCTAGCATTGCTTTGTTGAGCACTAGCTCTGGAAAGGCTGGTTCCTCTTCTGGGAAGACTTCCCCAACCCCTGGCCCTTTCTGCTTTGTCCCTCTCCAGAAACACTGTATCACTTGTGAATTGCCAACCTTCATTAAAAATATTGTTACGGTAGTGCTTTCTAAAGATACTTAGTCCTTCTGTTCATCCATTCATCAATATTTAATGAGCACTGATGAGAGGATATAATGAAAAAGGCAGAGGATCCCCCACCCCAGAAGAGCTCTAATGGGAGAGACAGACGTAAAGACGGTTACTATTAAGTGTGATCAGTGTTGTGAGGGGAATGTTGGGGGAGCATGGGAGTTTGAGGTGGGGCACCACAATTGTACTAGATGGTGCAGGGAAAGCTTCCTGGAGGAGTTACCATGTCAGGTAGGACCTGAAGATGGAGTGTCAGCCAGATGAGGGGAACATTTGTGGAGCTGAAAGTGTCTTGTGCCAGGGGTAAGAGCAGACATGGGGGCCTTGGTGTGAAAGTATGCTGTGTTTGAGTGACTGAAGCAGGTGAGCAGATTGAGGGATGAAGTGGTTAGAGAGCTGCCTGCAGGGCCACAAAAGGGCTGGAGAACAAAGTGTGCCCCAAAGGATTGAAGGGTTTTAAATGGCAGCAAATTACTACATGTGGAGAATGGCTTCTTGTGGAGAGGAGATTGTCAAGAACACTTAGGCTATGTGGTTGTCCAGGTTTGAGATGGTGGCCTGGTCTAGGGTGGGGACAGAAGGGAGGCCAAGAAGTGGGTAGAGTTGAGAGACACCCCAGAGATAGCACTGGCATGGCTTGGTGATTGAGTAGATTCAGATGAGGAGTGGAGGCTTCTGGCAGGACAGCTGGGGCAGGGGGAACACAGGCAGGACAGTCCTGGGCTCCATTTTGGACATGCTGAGGTGGAGATGGTTATACAGATCTGAAGCTCAGGAGGCAGATCTGGGTTTGTGGGTCATTCACAAGCAGATTGTGATGAAAGTCAGAGTCAAACCCCAACATCTTAAGGGTGACTGAGAGGGGTCAAAAAGGCCAGGAGAGTTTGTTATCACAGAAGACGAGGTTCAGGAAGTTTCACTATGTGAATAGGAGGTAAGCCCCCTGTCCCACACCAGGAGAGACTTGAAGATTTGCAAATGCGAATCAGGAAAGAGCGGGTAGAGAGGCTGGAGACACCTTGGCCCCTGAGAAGGTGGGAGAGGATGGGATTAGAGCAGGGCTGTAGGAGTGGCCCTTGGAAGTTAGCTAGAAGAGTTCTTTACTGATGACTTTTTTCTGAAGAAAGAGTTCATGGCTATTTGGGGGTTGGTGAAGAAGGGTCAGGGTCATGGCTGAGGAAACAGGATTGTCAGGCATCACAGTGGACCCAGTTAGACGCATCAGCTGCCCCCACAGTGCAAAGCAAGCAGAGTGAGGCAAGAAAAAGGAAGGAAATTGGGTTAATCTGTAGTCGGGGTGTTGAAGGTGTGTCAAGAAGTTGATGTTGACAAAAAGGGAATTTCAGCTGGTTTGGGCAGGGGCCAAGGGCCTGAGGAAGAAGTTGGTAGAGGTCCAAGGACAGAAGGGCTAGAAAGGTAGTAGAGGTTGTGGTCAGAGCAGAATGAATTTATTGCTTCAGAGGAACACTGCAAGTAGATGGCAGAAGTTGACTGGAGAAGTCAGGGAGGTGAAGGTGACTGGTGCTTTATCCCTGTAGGGAATGGTGTTGCTTGGGAAGATGGAGCCTGAACTAGATGCCAGCATTTTCAGTGATTGAAGGCGAGTGATGGAGAGCAGGTGCCGGTGCAGAGATGGTGGCAAATGGCATAAGCCCCAAAGGAACAGGGTGGAGAAACAGTAGTCTGGAAAAGCAGCAGCTGAGAACAAGGAAGCTGACCTTACCTCCCCACCCTGAGTTCCTGGGTGTGGGAGGGGGAGCAGCAGAGAGCTACAGGGCAAGTAGTGCCTTTGAGGGGCCAGGTTTCAGTTAAGAAGGATGATTTCAGAGAGAACAGAAATTGTGGGGGAAAAGGAAGTGAGGAAAGTCCTAACATATTGCTAAGAGGTATGCTAGGACATGATCCTATCTTTGAAGACACCGACTCTTACCCTGCTATTGAAGTCCAGAACTCCATTAATATAGTCCTCACTTTACTTGTTTTGTTTTAAATTAAGTTTATTTTGGCATTGAGTTAAACATTACTGTTGAGATTTCAGAAACAGGTGACAGACATAGACTACTGGTTCAACTACTCTGATGAGTATTTTTAATTCCTCAGTTTCTTAAAAATCTAAGTAAAATTTTTGTTTGATACAGATGATGTCTACCGTAGAAAAGCCTCAGAAAGACAATATCAGAGAAGGCTGGAAGATGCATCAGAGACTGAACTTCAGCAATCAATAAAGTGAATATGAAATTTTACTACTGGTTTCAATTCCTTTAAAAATGTACTTTTCAGATCTCTTGTTCTTCTCACAGAACTGCCTTTACAAAGAATTTTTATAGTTTTCCTGTCTGCTTGAATACTTCCCAAGTCACTGTTGAACAGCACTTGTGGGAAAACTATTTCCTCCTAACACACACCTACCCATTGAGTCTAGTCCATGAAATATTTCTTAAACAATTCAAAGATCAATCAGGATGCTTTTCAGTGCAGTCTACACTGTGAAGTTCTTTGTTTTAGGCAACAAAAGATAACCTTATCAACTTTTTGGGCAGAATTCAGATTTAATCATGGACATAAAAGATCTCTATTGCAAGATCATTTAAACCAGGATATTTATGCAGATTACATTTCTGCCAGCTACCAATTTGTAAACATTTTGCTAGGTTGGTGGGAATTCCTGACTGACCACACATTACTCACGTTAAGTGCTCTTGTGAACAGAAATAACCCCTTCCCTTGCCTGGCTCCACTAACATACAAGGGCTGGACCTTCATGAGGACTAAGGGTGGTGGGGGCGACAGGCCTCACGCCTGTCTACGATGAAGATAAAGCTTTCATCTAGCTGCTGAAGATAAAGACACTGCTCCTTCCCTAAGAAAGTGAAACTTCACAGTGTAAAGCAACCAGAGACCTCAGCTAAATCAGAGGCTCTGTAGTGGGAGAGATTCTGCAATCTGACCAAGAATAAGTTTGGGTCAGCTGGTAGAAAAGGTAAAGGTATCTTTCTATGCTTGGATAACCACGTCCTACATCTTTCCAAACAAGAAAATATCTACATATTAAACACTAAGTTTCAAAATGATTTCTAACTATGGCTCATGAACAGAGAAGCAGATGCTTAAAGCCACAGGGTATCCTCAAGTTAATGATCTCTGCCACAAATATGTCTGAATTTTTCTAGGGCTTTTTTCTAATATGTTAGTCCATTTATGTTAGAACCAATTCAGCATAAAGAGCCACTGACTTGTGGCTCTACCTACAGCACTACCTACAGCAAGCTCAGGTCACTGCTCAGAGATGGCTTGTGTGTGAAGAGCAGTGAAGACCAACAGCACCAGGGAAAGTTGCGTCCCCTAAAGAGTTCCTGGTGAACCTAACCTCGTAGGCATTTTAGTGATGAGACTGCTGCATAAGAAATTAAAACTGTGGTATGATTCTCTCAATTATGTGGCGTAGTCCATATGTTATCCCCATCCCCAGTTTTAGAGTATTTGATATATATGGAGAATTTAGTAATGTTTGATACATATAGAGAATATGTAACATACACAACTTTTACAAGGAATAGTTGTAAATGCTAATAAAACCATCAGCTAGCTAACTTCTGTGTCTGCTGTGGGTTCCCTCCCTGGCCCACCCCCACCTCCACCGCAGAGAGAATCACTAGCCTCAAATTTGTGTTAACCCTCCCTAGAGTTTTCTTCTCCTTTTTCAAAATATATAGAGAAACTGCTGACTTATTGAAGGACAACAAACCTTTGAAGATGACAGGACAATGTCTGACTTAAAGACAAATGAGTAGCACGGCAATTTTTGTATTAAATTGACACTTTAGAGCACATTAGTTTGGATGCTATAGAGTAAGAACTAATCTTTGTTAACCAAGGTGCAAGCTTTTCAACTTTGCTTTGAAAAAATTTTAACCCTCCTGCTAAAGAATATGACTCTACCCTACTTATCAAACACTGGAACTATTTAAAGGAACTTAATAATTTAAAGTGAAAAGAACCGTAATATTCCTATAGGCTGATTACAGAACTGCAGTGCCCCCTAGTGTGAACTAAAAGGCAAAACATAATTTCAAAAACCACAGTACTGGGGCCGGCCCGGTGGCGCAAGCGGTTGGGTGCGCGCACTCCGCTGCAGTGGCCCGGGGTTTGCCGGTTCAGATCCTGGGCGCACACCGATGCACAGCTTGGCAAGCCATGCTGTGGTGGCATCCCATATGAAGTGGAGGAAGATGGGCATGGATGTTAGCCCACGGCCTGTCTTCCTCAGCAAAAAGAGGATTGGCAGGTGTTAGCTCAGGGCCGATCTTCCTCACCAAAAAAACACAGTACTTATTCTAGAATGACCAAAATCTAATTAGCATTTATTGCTAGAAGTCTCCCTCCACTGTAGCGTTGGGGAAAGAACGTGGACTTTGGAGCTTCACTAATTTATCTGAACTGATAGGGAAAGTACCTACGTTAGGTGCACAGTAAATACTCAGTAAGCAAGGGCTGTCTTTGTTCATCTAGCAGTCCTATTTTGAAAGTCTTGCCTAAATCTCTGATGTTATAACTTAATCACTTAACTTTCTCTATTTTTGTAAGTCTGAATTTTTCACACTGTTACCTGTCTTTAGCAGTACAGTTTTTAGTCTTCACACATGTGTACTAAATTTGGAATTTCTTGCCACACTTACGTGCAATCCACAAAATGTGAATACCACATCTATTTTGGGGATAGAAATAGTTCTGTTAATGTGTTCAGTTCTCAACTTTCACTCAGCTGACCTAGCACACTTCCAAACTAAAAAGGAACAGAGTAATACTTAGCAGTATTTGTTTGCTCATAGTGTTTTCAGCTGGAATGTTTAACTATATATCAACAATCATTCAAAATATGCTCATGAGCATAGATGGCAGTACAGCCCTAAACTCTTAGAAGAACAGAACCACAGGGATTTGCAAAGTGATATTAGAGGAAAACAGTTGGTTGATTTTACCAACACTTTCTATTAAAAGTGTGGTTATGCTTTAAGAGCTTATAAGCATGTTAAAGACATATCTGGGCCACTTGTCTCTTCTGGCCACAGAGAGCTGACTATTTGAAATGGGTTACATTCCTTTATGACACAGGACATGCTTTTCTTACCTTCCGCCATCAGTAACTCTCCAATTTTAACTTCAACCTGCATTTCTGCCCATGCTGAAGACATGTTAGGAATTCCTTGACTGCCAGCCTGAGAGGCTTGACGTGGGGCACGTCAGGCTGCAGTTTGACTACATTCAGCCTCTTTGTTAATACAGCCTGAGCCCTAAACCAGGGTCTGGACACTGACTTTTGCCTCTACCTGAGGAGCTCTCTTCCCTTAAATTGGCAGCCGTATCCCTCTGAGCATAAAATCAGGGCTTGCAGGAATTAAATCGGCTTGAAACTAACATCTGACACAAGCTTTAACAGAACAACCAAACCTGGTTAATCCAAATCACTTTGCAAACTCCATTTTTATTTGGATTAAAAAGCTTTAGATGAACAAACATATGATACATACATGTTATAAGACTAGTTACCACTAAAACCTCCTTTGATACAGAAATTAGAATAAACCAAGTTTTAATCAGGTCTGAAAACAGGTCTGAAAATGTTCAAGCTCAAAAGTCAACAACGCCAATTTGGAGATTTTACACAAAGAAGCATCCCCTCTCAATTCTTCCTCATAGGAAGAGAAGGGTGGGTTCAAAAACAAAGCAATTCAAGACCTTTTAAATCAGTTGGCTGACATACTATTTTAAACCTATAGGTTTTTCCCCCCACATAAACAAAATTCTTTTCCACATGAACTTACATTTTGAAAACATTCAGGCCATTATACTTTCTAAGCCATATCACTACAGTTCTTAAAACTCATGAAAAAAAGATGTATAGTTCACTTGTACTTTCTTAAGTCAGGACTTTTTGTTTGTTTTGGTTTTTCTTTTTTGGAAGATGGCTGACCTCAAATCTTATATCCTAAATATTGATTGATATTCTCCAAGTTAATATACAGAAAGACATGATTCTAAAATAAATACATAGTTGTTTTTTTTTTTTAAACTTAATTTAAATTTAAACTTAATTAGGGCCTGCCTAGTGGTCCCCTGGCCCAGCTCTGCACTGCCTTAGAAAGCCCCTTGCTGGATCTATGGTTCCTACAGCACCTCTAGACACTGCGAAGGAGCCCAGAGGAGGAGTGCTCTGGCTTCTAATGCCCCACATAGCCCACAGTGAAGAGTTTTTAGAGGCTTCCCAAAGGAGTCTCATGCAGACCTTAAAAAGGGAAATAAAATGGGTGCATGAAATAAATAAATAACTTAACCAAAATTAAACTTCAGGTTCTTTGGTGTAATTCAAGGATGTCTAGAAATAAAATAATCTGATTGTATTATACAGTTCATGATGATTCAATGGCCCAAATAACCAGGAATTGAAGTTTTCTTTATCTGATTTAGTTTAACAATAAGGTATTGATATAGTACTGTAATACATTTTTTTAAATTCAGAATTATTTAAAATACTTGATGCAAACTGAGATCCAGTGGTTGACTACAGGCAATTCAGTTACAAGGGCCTCCCGTATTTAAAGTATCCGATACAAGAGACTTTTTTCCATTCTATACTCTTTTGTCCCCATGATTTAGTAAGGATGGTAATTAAATATCCAGGTATTGATTCATACCAGATTAAAAGAAAAAAAGTATCCTCAGAGAGTCACTCTCTCAACTTTCACATAGCAGTGGATGCTCCACCACAATAACCACCTTATTACAATAAAGCAGGTTTCAAAAATGCCAAGTGAAACACTGTTCCGTGTTTGATGCTTTCTACCTATCTGAGCATCATACACTGCCCTCAAAATGTTTATTCTAGGGTCATATGGAGAGACAGGGTCATCAAACCAAGTGTTTGGGATGTGTAATGGTCTTTTTAGTGAGCAATTTCTTAAATTATGATTCCTTTCTCCTGAAATTCAAAAGCACAAGCTAAATTTAAAAAAATATTTCAGAAAGTCTTAAATTTCTGGTTAAGAATTACAACTTTAACTTAGAAGAAAAAAAATGCCACATCTGAAAAGGAAATAAAAAATACTAAAACATATTTGCATATGTAGGCAATGTACCCTTTTACAGTTATGCTTCTGACACAGTTCACATACGGTTATGCACTCCCTTCCCATGTTAGGTTTGGGGTTATGTTTAAAAATAAATTACCTCCATGCACACCTCAATGCTTTCTTCAAGATGAACTTCAATGCTTTCCAATGTTAAGAGATTTAAAATTTTAAATCATCTAACATATATAGGCATAAATTGTGAATTCATTATAAATAGATCAAAAGTACCCTTAAACTTACCTGCCAAGACTAAATATAATTCAGGGTTGTGCACATGTTCTGCAAAAATAACTGACACCATAGATATCTAACTCAGCACAGAAAAAGTGATCTCTCCCTCCAGTTGTCCGGGAGATTCACTAGCTGCAGAAGGATGCACAGCACTGACTTCAGATTTCTGGAGCGAGCTTCTGAGTTAACAGAGCAAATGTGCCACGTCTGCCAAACATCTATACCCTAAACAACCTTTCACTTTACCTGTAAGAAACAGTTTTGCGAAAGTGGCTTAAGACATTCAAGCACATAAAACAGACACAAGCACACGCCCCTCTCTGAGATGTAAACTAGTACCAACTTCACATTTCATTGTCAACTTAAACTCATCTGTAAACTCGTGTGTGTATTTTTTTTTTCATTTTGTTTGTTCTTTTATAAAAAAAAACAAAAACAAAAACAAAACCCCAAAAACAAAAAACAAAAACCCCAAGCCAAGACAAAACCTTTGATGGTTTCAGTTCCATGGCAACAAGTAAAAAGATAAAACTCCAAGTCTACATATACAACCAATTATGAAACTGGTTTTAAACGAAGGAAACATATGCAAAAAAATCTTTGTGTATTTGATAAAGTCAACTTAATATAACAAAAACAAATTGAAATAGCTTATTAAAAGTGTCCTTATATAAAAATGGCCTCGTGATGTACAGTAAAATGCAATAAAAATTATCATCTTTTGTTCCTCCCCCCACCCCCAGTAACTAAAATGG